ATCCCCTTGAGGGGTCTGCAACTAGTCATAGTATGAGAAGTGACAGCAATAGACATTCTTTCAAAGAATTATAACGCGATGTTGTAAAAGGTGAGCGGTCACTTTTCAGCAGATGACTCGGGAGCACTTGAGAAAAGAAACAGCGAAAAGATTTCAGGTCACTTTAGAGTCCAGGGCATGGGAGACAAGTCTTGAAAGTGATCTTGGGCTTCTCATTTCTCAAGGTAGGTGAGCATGCAGAAAGAAAAGCAGCCGGCCTCCAACAAAACCACAGCTTATTTTGACAAATGCATTAAAAAGTACAAGGAGACCATGAATATTTATAGCATCGAAACAGACTGACATTTAATTTTATTTGCATTAGAATTTAAAATATTTTGATGACATGATTGCAGATAATTGAGAGCAAAGGGAAGCATGTCCTCATAGACAACGTATCTTTTATGCAGGAGAATATTCCAACATGTGCTAAGGAAAAAACCTTCGGCTGGACCCTAGCTACATCCATACTCATGCTCTAAAACAGAGATCTCAGTCATATTGTGGGCCACCTTTATAGCAGTGGAGAAAGGGAACAAGTATCTACCTGGCTGCTGGAAACAGCAGCCTGAACTGACACTCTTGGCTACCCAGATCGGCGGAACTGCTTTGATCCAAAATCTCTTTAGTGTAAATTCCGGGATTTTGAACAAAGCTTTTCTGCAAGTGCAGATGCAAGATACTACCTCTGGTGTATATGTAGAGAGATGCGTATAAACGTTTATGCATCTGTCCCAACGTGCAAGGCAGTGTCATATACCCTATTCTGAGGGAAAGCATCAGAAAACGTGAAGGCTGAAGGAGCCAAAAGGGATCTTCTTCGGTATTTCACAATCCATCTGATGGTTTTCAGCAGCCTTTGATCTCTTGCAAAAATTGAGTGTCTAAGTCTGAATCTCACAGCCAAGCTTCACATCATGCCATACTCCTGGTTAAAGCAAGCAGCACGTCGCTTTGGCTCCCTCATTTGTATTATCATGCGTTGGTTAAGTCCCCACTTTTTCAATAAGTTATGGTACTCAAAGCAATAGCATGAAGATTTTCCCTTTCCAAATTTGAACACCATCTTTGTTCTGGCAATTCAGGGAACCTGTTTTATCCATCGCATTAGATACAGTCATTGTAATAGCTCCTGCCCCGTATGCCACAGCCATTGCTACGGTGCAGTGGAAATCAATAGCATTTTTTCTATGCATCAGGCATTTCCCATCGATGTTTACGTATAACAATTAAATGAGCATGGGTTCCACTCATCTGAATGAGCCCGAGGGCTTTATCCCTTTTGGCACCTCTGGGAATATCAAACTGCATGACACTATGACCTGATTTAGTTTTTGAAGGTTTCCACCCTCCTTTCTGAAGCAGCCCTCCCCTCACTTAAGCTCTGCGGCTAGGGCGATTCCTTTCAAGCCTTCTCCTTCCCCTCCAGTTCTTGAATGAAACACTGTTGTTTCAACGACCTCCCCGTCCAAGCAAGCAGTTAAGACATCAGATTTGCTTTATACAGACAGAAGAAAACTGCAAAACATTATTTCTTGCTCAGGTGATTCATGTATTTGTCCTGTCCAAGGGAATATGAAATACCACACCATTTATCTGCACTGTATCAACTGTTACGTAGAGGACAATACCTTAAATACATTATTTGTAGGTTTTAGATTAACAAACTTCGATCAATTAATCCCTATGCCGATATTGCACAATATCTGATTTTATTCCAGTTCAGCAGCCGATTCAAGTATGTCAGCATTATTCTGGATGGAGCAGTTGATGGAGAAGTCCGATAAGATGTCATTTGTTCTGAACAAGAGGCCTGTATTCAGTACAATCCAATACCTGTATTCAGTACCTGTATTAGATATACATACTGCCTAAATTCAATACCTGTATTACCTAATCAGTAACTAATGATAAGTTAGTTACTAACCAAGCCCCAAACAGTTAGTCATGACAATTAGTCTATAAATTATCAACACGAAAACGTCTCTTCCACATTTTTTAATGCTTTCTCTTGTGTTTTTTTTTAATTGCTTTTTCTGCTTATAATTTTCCTAGCTACAGTGGGCATGGAGATGGATTATGAATCCCTTTCATCCTATTTACAGCAGCAACAGCATTTCAGATTCTGGCCTGGCCTGCTGCCAGATACAAGCAATACATTTCCTCCAGTTGCAAGCAATAAAATTATTCCGTCTTTGTTATTCTGCATTTCCCTGGATCTTTTTGAAGGACATCAATGATTCTCTGCCAGCGTTGCTGTGATAAATTATATGCTTTAGCTGTTTAGCACAAGGGTGAGCTATACAAAGCCACAGGAGGATGAATTTAAAAAATGATCCACCAGTTTTTGTTGGTTTTTTAAACCAATTTCATAATAGTAATGCAAATATAACAAAAAATATTAAGTGCAATTAGGGACGCAATCAAAATTAGGCAATTCACAGCCTGGTTGTTGGGTTTTTTTACATGCTTCATGCCTGTTTTCTAGGATTTTAGCATCGAAAAATTAACAGCTCCATTCGGCTTGGGAGACTCCACGTCAGGGCTACGTCTCCCAGGTGCTTTCGTGCTTTTGAAATTCCCGTTTCCATCTCCTCTTCTTTTACAGGAGTTCATGCTGACACGTTTATGATTGCACTCAAGCCTACTCATTAAATTACGTTTTCAAGATTTTTAAGCATATTCAGAGTTCTTGTGCACAATGTGCGTGTCAGTTTCGAGGATCTCTCAATTCTGACTTCCATAACCGTGAATTAATTTTTTATTTTTCCATTGAGATGGATACCATTTTTCGTCCTAAAATTTATAATCTGTGGGGATGGCAATATTTTAATTTCAAGTGCATTAAAACTGGATTTTCTCACATATTTCCTTATATTTTATTGTGAAGAAGATGAGTTTTTTTGCCTGAAAACATTACCTTGGTTAACAAAACTGGTACCTTGCCCTGCTTCCTCCAGGTTTTTTTATTTTCATTTAGTGGTCAACGAGCATTAATTTTGAACATTCGGAACTGTGGAGAGACAGTTCTGTCAAGCGCAAATCTGTCTTCCTTTCAACAATGTCCCATTTATGCCTTCCCGTGCAGGCAGGTTATAACTTTCATATGAAATGTTCTGCTTTATCCTGCTCCACCCAAATTCTCATGTCACTTCCATCGCTGTGCTACCATATTTCACTGTAAGTTAAGTGAGGCAAGCAAGATCTGCCATTTGTTTCTTTTTCCCTTCCTCTCTCCAGAAAGAAGTTTGCTTAACTTCGTTATTAAAGGTTAGCATTAGAAAAAAAAAAGAAACAGCAGTAACTTGGAGTGATAAAAGCCAAGGTTTAGAAAGTCTCTTACTTCTTTGTGGAATAAAACACAACAGCCTTGTCAAATTGGGCCTGCCTTTGAGTTCAAGCTTATTTGTTAGCTTTAACCAGTATTTTTATCCTTTTGTCAACATAATCCATTTTGCTTTAAGTTCTGGGGTATTTTATAATTTGATAGCATTCCTCTTTTTTTCTTTCTGCCTGGTTTAGGCGAGTTTTGCTTTTAAATGCCATCACACACACAGAGCGCACGTGCACAGACAGACATGTATATGTGCATAAAACCTGCCACATACTGTTTATTCACCTAGCTTCCCATCCTACTTCAGCATTAAAGCCAAGACTACTTTTTCCCTTTTTTCTCTCATCTCTGATCAGCCGTTACTCCCGGACATTGCTCTGACCCAAAGCCGCACTTTCAAACCCCAAACGGCGGCAGGTGCCGGCAACTTCCCTCCATCCCACTCCTCGGAGGGGTTATGAGTGGGGTGGCTCGCTACCACGCCACGGGTGCTAGCACGGAGGCGGGCTGCCGCCGCCTCCCCCGGCCCCCTCTCCCACCTCGCCCCGAACGCCTCCTTCGATTCCACACGCACGCCCCTACGAAACCAAGATGGCGGCGCCAGGCCGAGGCCCGCGGAACCCGCCGCACCGTGACACGCCGGCCGCGCCCGAGCGTTGAGCCACGCCTCCCCTGCAGCGCCTCAACCAATCAGCAGCCTGGATGTAGCCTTCCACCAACGGGTAGAGCGGTTTCCCCTCGGCCGCCGCCAGCCCCACCGTACCAATCAGCCGCCGGGAGGCGCGGCGCGCCGTCGAGCTGGCAGGGCGGGTAGCCAATGGCTGACGACGAGATCCCGCCTCCTCCTCCGCTCCGTTGCTGGGGCAGCCGCTGTCAATAGCCCCCGCGCTCTGCCGCGGCGGCCCCTTTAAGCGTCGCTTGGCAACGGCGGGCAGGTACCGCCGGCGGCGCCGGGCCGGGCCGGGCCGGGTATCGCGCGGCGGAGGGGGGACCGGGACCGGGCCCGGGACCGGGACCGGGACCGGGCCTAGGCCGAGCCGCCGCGGGGAGGGGGGTGTGCTGGGATCCGCAGCTGCGGATCTCTTACTCCCGACGCGCCGTGTGGGCCAGGCTCACCGGCCCGGTCCCGGGGCAGTCGGCGGGGAGGGTGGCTGGGCCCCCGGGGCTCCCAGCGGCGGTGTTGGGGCGCGGAGGGAGGGGAGGCTTCGTCCCGAGCAGCGGCGGGTGGCAGGGAGCAGGCCTGGGGGGGGGCGGCAGCGAGGGCGGCGTCCCTTTCCTCAGAAGTCGTTTATTGCAGGGTTAAACGATCGCCCTTAAAAGGTGCTCTCACGTGCGGTTGTTAGTTGCTGTAAAAAAGCGTTACTCAAAAATAGTATTCGGTAAGAGCTTTAAGAACTTCTCCCCAGTCAAGGAAAATTGCTTGCTTACCCTTTGGGGACTGGAGAGCCGCCTTCAGGAATGGGGAAGTTGAACTGGTAAGTCCACGCACAGCGGAGGCATAGGCAGAAATACCAGCGACGGCCTGGGCCTCCTCGGTAGAGGATTTGGAAACATAAATCTCTTTCCCTGGTTGTAGGACTGGCCTATTTGGACTGCCGTTTCCTCATCTCCGACCTGGGACTTTTTCATTTTGAGATCTGCTGATGAAAGTTACGCTAAGTGTTACTGTCACGGCGTCAGATAAATTTAACGTTGGCTTTTAAAACCATACAACGTTTTAATTCGCCAAAAGCTGGTAAACCTAGAAGAAGTGCATACAGTGAAGTCAGCAGCTGCAGAAAGCTTCCCTAATAAAATATTTGCTCCTCACTGAAGCCTCATCAGTGAACATGTTTTGATGTGATACAAGTAAATTCTTTTGCTCCTCTCTCTTTTCCGTGAAAACAGCAATATTTGGATGTGAAAAAGATGAGTGGAGGAAGAAGAGGGAGGCAAATTTCTTTTGAAGTTATTCTTAAGTTCAGCACTTTAATAATGTGGATTGATGCTTTTGTACCTGTCTGAATCTGGCTTTCTTGGGCTGTCCCTCTCTCAGAATAGGTGGAAAAACTGCCCCGACCATTAGAGTTCAGCATTTGTACTCAGGAAGCGTCATATGGTGCCCAGTAAAAGCATGTAGCAGTTTCTGGTCTTAGAAAGGTATTGAGATTGAAAAGGACTTAAAGAGTTTTGTGAATTTTGCATTACTGAACTAAGCTCTGGGTGTACTGTGAGAGAAGAATTACTGAGTAATTTTCCTGTCTCTCTATTGCTTAATCCCTGTAATCCAGTAGTTCAATTTCTGTTTCTGTGATTTACTTAGGAGCGATGGGGAGACAGTATTCTGTCACCATTGCAGTTGTTTTGTGCTCTCTATTTTGTCTGTCACGTCCTTTGCAGTGACCTGGAGCTTGACTGCTTTTTCTAATAATAAGCATGTTTTCAATACAAAATATGTAAATCATAGCAATAGTAGAAGTTGCTGAAGTGAAGGAGCATGAAATTCTGGAAACAAAACTGTTTGTAAAGTTTGTGCAAGTCCCAGATTTACTTCAGCCATTCTGTACTGATCTGATCTTGATGCACTAGGCTTCTAAAAGCACGTGTGGAGCTCTTGAGGGGGAGGGGGTTGGGGTTTTGGTGGTGGTGGAGCTGAGTAGACCCACTGCTAACCCACAGTGTTTCACTCCTCACAAACTTATTAAATGTACCAAGGGAAAATAGATATCTATGTGGTTCTTACTCACATGAGTTGAACTTATTTTATAGTCAGCTCAAACTAGTTGGTAACAATTGAAAAGTCAATGAACCAAAGCGGTTCTTAATTAGACAGTCCTTAGGCTAACTGAAGTAAAACTCAAATATCCTAGTGATTCATTTATTCTCAAGATAAACTGTGCATTTTTTATGATAATCAAATTACATTATAAACTGAATTTGGCAGGACTTGACAGACTAAGGTTTCTTGTTTTGTATGGGAAGTATGATAGTATTACCAATTTATAAATCTGAAAACAATTTGAAGATTCAGAAAATGTTTCTGGAGATTCCTCAAGGGATCTTTTATTGATTCACCTTTTTCAATTTGTTGTCAGTCCATTGCTTTTCAAAGTGCTTTCAGAATGCATCAAAAATTACTGTTCATTTATGTTGCTGTATGTCAAAACAATACTTGGCAAAATATTCTCAAAAGTGAGAAATATCCAGTACAGAAGTGATGGATAATTCTAATCCTCCAGTTCTTACAATTTGTCTGTTTTAAATACACTGAGTTATGAAAAGCATTCTTCAAAAAGATTATTGCCTCTTCAGTGAACACTTGTGGGACTATAAAATAACTGATGAGCTTTAAGTCAGTAAGTGAAAGTGAGTGTTCTTATTTTAATGTATATATAATTAGACATCTTGATGATTGAACTGTAGGCATTTATGTTTTCCCAAAATGAAGTCCCATTTGTTTTGATTCATATTTGTTTTCTTTTCAAGAAAGTCTGTGCATGATGATTTCTTTCTGCCCTTCCGTGTCCTGCAGGCAGACAAAATGAGGGTGTATCTTGGCTATATCTACGCTGTTGAAGATAGTTGCCCCATAGAGTAATCCCTGCCTCCACACAGGGCTAGGTTAACCCCTCGAGATGTGGTGGTGCCTCTAACATTGATGTTCCCACTCCAGGAGCAGAGGACTCCTCTGGATGCCACGTGTGGCCCTGGGACAGACTTGCACTCAAGTAACAGACTAGGTTGCTTGAATTCCCACCAGTTTGTTTTATTCAGCATGTTGTTATGAGCAAAACAGGGAACACATCTTAGATGCAGAACCAACACTTGATTGTTAGTCTGATTAAAATCTTAACAGTCTAACCAAAGATTTGGTGTTAGTCCAGATACGAACATAGGTCAAACTACATATGGTTACAGTGGTATAGGCACAGACTCTAGAACCAAACCCTTTCTCTGGTGTTACCTTTGCCCACCCACTCTCCCTCTGGGATTTGACTGGCTTCAGCTGGGAGGGGGAAGTCTTTACAGCAGGTCATCAGCATCCCAAATCCTTCCCTGGCAGGAGGAGGATGGTAATGGTTTCTTCCTCCTTGACTTGGGATCATTTTTATATGCTTGTTAACACACTGTGCACCTTGCTCTTTATTCTGTTCTATTCTATTAATTGATTCATGGTTCCCCATTACATCTGAATTTACTACATGTGGTGTGTTTTACATATGTTGAGTACTTGTTCTTTGTTCTGTATGTTGCCTATAAAACTGGTTTTACCCAGCTCCCAAGACTGTGTCCCGTTGATGACCAGTAATTGAGCACAGGTGAGATGTTACAGCTTAGGGGCCCAGTACTGTTCTGCATTTGTGCTTTCAGGCCCCTGCAGTCTCCCCATGCCTGTACTCCTCTACGCTGCGTTTCTGCAAGGGTTGTAGATGTTTCACGCTGCACAGAATAACTACTTGTTATTGCTGTCTGTTAGTTATAAATGTAACAGTAGATGCTAGACAATTGTACAAAGCTAAGCAAAAAGCTGAAACAAATTAGGTAAGTTCCCTGGTTGTGAAATAATGTTGTTGCAGCTAAATAAGCTATAGCAAAGCTCCAGGCACCTGAGATGAGGTCAGAGGAAGTCTAACAATTTTTGTGCCCCATGTTAGCTGGAAATGAAGCCTGTGGCTTCAATGACACCACCACACTTCGTGTGGGTTACAAAAGCAACTACTATTCTTAAATTTTTTTTTTCAGTCAGGATGACTGTAGTAATATGAGGTCTGTGTTACAGCCGTCCAGAGTACTATTTTTATATTTTACATTATTTTAGTGTTTTAATGTAAACACATTGTTTTATACCTTATTCTATATTTTTTGCATTCACTGAGATTCTGTCCTGTGGAGACAGAACTGATACAGTCTTGCCTGTACACCCTCTAGAAAACAGGTTGTCCCCAAAACTCTGCTTGTGTTTCAGTTTGGGCTTGGTTTGCTCTTTGGGGAGCAAAATAACATACATTCTGCACAGATGTTTATGAGGCCAGGACTTAGGAGTGGAGCTGTTTGGGAGTAGGGATGCACCCTGATATGTTCTAATATTCTTACATGATCTTAGTTTTGCACTCATGAGCATGTCTGAGGGTCTGCATTATTTCAGAAGAAAAAAGAACAGTCATTGCTGAACATTTGAATGCTTGCAATAACTGACACCTTCCAGCGTGTGTTTAGCAATCTCTAAGCATAGCTTGTCTTCTTTCTGGGCTTTGCAATGCAATTTTAGTTTTCATCAGAATCCTCTCTGACATAAGTTTTAGGTGTGTAATTTATTTGGACCACTTCGAAAATATTTAGGTGCTTAAAAAGCACTATTTTGGAAAGTTACTCTCTAAGTAAGAAAAACGCTCTCTTCCAAATAATTCAATATTAATTTCCCAGCAGCTTCCCAGTTTAGAAATCTGTTGGGATATTTATTCCTCTAATTCCTTCTGTATAGATTATGAGGGCAAATGGATTCCAGTCACTGGGGAGAGAGTTGTGCTAACAGTGAGCTGGGCCAGAAAGCTTGAATTTGTAATGAAAACTGTCTTGGCAGCTGACATTTCTGTTCTGCTTGGCTATGCAATTCTGCATGTATAGACAGTGGAATAGAAGGCTGAGAAGCATGCTAAGTTTATTTTATTGGGAAATAATACAGTGAAAAATTTACAGCTCGTTTACAGGTATGTTGTATGCCCTGCAGTGTAGAGGAGTTTTGATTGAAAGCTGCTCAATTTTTTGTGTGTAGTTTGCTTTACCATTTAGAAATGGATGTGGAGCGTATGTCACTCAACAGGCAGAACTGATGGGCTCTGATGCAAGTCCTGTTTATTCACCCATTAGAAGCTTGATGTCCTGAAGTTGGATTGAAGGCAGATAGATGGTGAAATAAGCTTGAGAGCTGTGAAGTGGTGAGAGAGGCAGAAGACATGGGAGACTGAGTGTGGTCAGTAAAATACTTCCTAAGCTGATGAGGAAAACTTTGGGTATATTTGCTCCATTATATTCTCAGGAAGTGTCTCCAAAAAAAAGGTAAAATCACCTTATTTTGCATGAGATTAGGGGATTTTTCAGTTTACATTAAAAGACAGGCTGTGGGAGCAGCCCTTCTCGTTTTATACCTGCTGCAGATGTAATGTTTACCATATACCAGCAGTGTGGTCTCTCTTATCAGATAAAAAAACCCCAAAAGGCTATATCTGCATTTTCCTATAAAGCACATGACATAAATGTGTGTGCTTCTGCCAGTTCTTGAAGGCATGAAACACTACAGATGTTGTGGGGTATGAGACTACTTTCCGGGGCAAAGGCTGTGATACATAGCTACAGTCTCATTAGCAGTTAGGGACAGAATGTCCTCCAGAAAAATGGGACAACTGATTTTCAAGCCCATTATTTAACATCATTGGAGTGTCAGAAATTGAGATATGGAAACTTAGTCAAATTCTACAAATATCTCAGTTCTAGTTGCATGAATAAGTTGTTAATTCATTTGGTTAAAAAGTTCTAAAATATGTTTAAATTAGTTTCCTGAATAGCATCAAACCCTCTTTCTAACCTGGGAGTAATTTCTTATTCTAGATTTAGCTGTCTAATTTTCTGATTTCTCTTTTGGGGATGAAGTACCTCAAACTACTGAGTGTAATACTAGTAGCATTCCTGGAGTGTGATGTCTGTCACATTTAATATAAATAATAAGGCTAATTAGCACAGCACGTGGCATAAGGTTATAGGAATCCTGAATAATTTTACAGGGGTTTTTTACCTTTCTTTCTTAACTAAAGAGCAAAACCATTCTCAGTTTTTTCTCTCTCTCTAAATTGTTACAGAAAAATGCATTCTGAATGATAACTACTGCTTGCTGAACTGAACTGCAAAGATCTCATGCTTTGGAGATGAAGATGATAAACCCAAGGAAATAATCCAGCTGCTGCCATTGTGGCAACTGAAAGATCCTTTGTGTCAAAATGAACAGTCTTTGAGAAAATCTGGAAAGCCATTAAATCTGAAAAATGGGAGAAAGAGTAAGGAGCCCAGATTCTGAACATGACAGGAAATCAGAGGGGGATAAAAATAGTGACTCCTATTATTCAGATGAAGATAATGCATCTCGTTCATCTGGCCAGTCGCCAACACTAAGCTATCCATCTACGAGCCAAGAAAAAAGAGATCACAAAACACAAACTTCAAACAGCCTTGTGCACTACCAAGGTAGGTAGATAGCAGAAATTGCTGTTTGTAACTGCGCTAAAGAGTTGATTATCTCTGAAAGCTGAAATAAAAGTGGGAAACTACCATTATGAAAATCTACAAATAAGGTTCACGTGAATTGTGCTACAGATGGCAGGTAGACCATAACAATGTCCATTGAAAACTGAAATTAACCTGTTCCTCCATAAGGAGGATTTTTGGTGATTTTCAGAATTATTCATATTTTTCATAACTAGTGAACATGGCTCTTATACTAGCCTTTTGTTGAATCATGCTGATGCTCTCCTTTTGTCTTTGGCAAAAATACTTGAGGCCAAGAACTCAAGGCAAGTCCTTACTATGCAGTCAGTAAAAGAGAGACAATTGTTAAAATTTCTCTGACAAAATACCCCTAAAGATCTCTCTCTTGTGGAATTCTAATTGACTAAGCTTTACAGTGTAATACTGAGTACTTTCGAAAAATAAACAAATGAAAAGACCACTAATGAGGCAAGAGAGAGAAAATGTGTTTGGCGAAAGTTAGATGCGTGTGGAAATTCAAAAGAAAGTTTTTCTTGGTCCTTCCTTGAGGGTAAAATATTTCCAATTTGAGATGAAGTAGCTCCACCTTTAGCTCCCTCACACACACCTCACCCACATAAGCTGCTTTCTTGGCTGAGATTGTGGGGTAGTGAACATCCCTACAAAAACGGAGAGAATGGTTATACAGGTCCTGGGCTGAAGTAGGGATGTGAAGCTTCTCTGCTGCACTTCAAGAGCTTGATCTAAATAATTGCACACATTTTCTGTTGAAGTCAGAGCATATCCTGCCTTTCTCAAGCAAGTGCTCTATTTCATTCGTAAGTGCTTGATACCGTATTAATTATTTGGTCAACATTATGATCTAGAGTGTGCCAGAAGATCTAACCATAAATATTGAAGTTGCCCAGGGAGCCTGTCTCTTCAGATCTTTGACAATGTTGGTGTCCTGGTGCAGCTAGTGTTTTGCCGAGCTTCTCTGTGTTCAGAAGTGGCATCTGCTCCATAGCAGTCATGGGTTAGCTTTCAGGGTAACAAAAACTGCAGTTCCACTGTGCTATTTAATTTGGAGGGGGCAAATGAATGACTAGCTCTTTGATTACATAGCCAGAATTGAACTTACTTATTACATGGAGGTATTGTGAATGTCATGTTGTTCTTGAAGGACACTGTTCCCCAATTTAGCTATACGGTCAAAAGTGCAAACTTGGTATTGGAATTTTCTATTCTGCCCTAAATGTGGAGAAATTCTTGAAGGGGCTGGAAGTCTAGGGTTAATGGGAATTCTCTTAGCTGGTGATAGGAGTGGCCTCATTCCTGCAGTGCATGTATTAAATAATCTTTTCACACCTGAATGTGACATTAGAGTTCTTTGTAAAGGAAAAAAACCCTTCTTTTATTTGCCCAAGCTGTGGAAAAAATAAGCATCAAGCAGAAAAATGAGTATTTGTGCAAAATGTTTAGAGGAAAAGATAAGAAGGTATTTTAAAGCTGTTATTTTTGCTGTAAAATACTCTGTAGAATAGAAACATGGTGAGCGCCAAAGGGGAGGAAGAATTTGCTGTCACACACTCACTGTCTGTGTATAGGTAACTGCACTACTGCTGTATCCCAGCTTTCAAGCCTGAATTATAATCTGCTGCTCAGTATGTTTCTTCCTAACGCTGATGTACCTTAATGAATTATGCAGTCTCTATATATTCAGTTGTTTTAAGAGATATTTTTCGTGGATTATATGCTTCATTCTTTGAGCGTGGGTTGAGAGGCAAATAAGATAGAAACAAAATGTTTAGCCTTTATCTGTGGGGATGACAATAAAATAATATCAAATAGGAATGCGAGTGATGCATAGTGGTAATCAAATAAGGATACTGTGTGGAAAATAACTTGTGATACAAGAATAAATTATTTAGGAGAGAACTGAATTTTCATGGGATTTATAATTTTGCTTTGGAGGCTTTTTGCATTGAGCCTTTGAAATCTGCTGTTTTGTCTGTAAGCATGGCAGCTGGATTTGAAAACACTACTGCATTTGTCTGAGAGAAATACATCTTGCATAATACGTGACTAGCTAACTCTCAGCTAATTGTTGCCATTTTAAAAGCATTTGATAATATTGTATGCATAAGAGTACAGTATTTCTAAAACGTTTTAATAAACATCATCAAATATTAACAAAATATGACTGTTATTTCTGATACAATTTGCAGATGATTACAATGGTCCTATATTAATGATTGCAAATATTACTTCTTACAGTCAGATCACAGACATAAATCTCCATTTTTATTTTTTTTTATCTATCAAAAGAAGCATAAGTCTATCATATATATGCCTTTTATTGTCTGGTTTGAAAGCCGCAATCTCTGCTAAGTATTGTAAAATTGTTTCAGGCAGAGCTTTATTCCAAGAAGGGTGTCAGAATAGGCAAACTGCGTTGTCTTACAGTAAACATGCTTTTTATTTTTCCTTTCTTAGCCACAAAGAAATTGGGTTCCAAATATGCACCAAGCAAAAGAGGGACGCGGTGGGGTTTCCGTTCTCAGAGCCTCACTAGGGATTCTCCTGCAAAAGATATAGATCTTGTTACAAAAAGAGTTCTTTCAGCTAGGCTGCTGAAAATCAATGAGCTCCGAAATGAACTGACTGAACTCCACATCAAACTAGATGAGCTGCAGAAGGAAAACAGGGCACTGAAGAGGCTTCAGCACAGGCAGGAGAAAGCCTTGAATAAGTTTGAAGATACGGAAAACGAAATCTCTCAGCTCCTTGCTCGGCACAACAATGAGATTAGAATACTAAGGGAGCGCCTACGAAAATCTCAAGAGAGAGAACGTGCAACTGAGAGACGGCTGAAAGATTCGGAAGATGAACTGTACAGAACAAAAACTGTCTTGCAGAAATTGAAGAAGCTGTCTGCAGATAAGCACCTTGCCGAAAGAGATGACCTGGCAAAGAAACTAGCCTATGCAGAGAGCAGGCTAGAGGACAGTGAAAAAAGAATTAAGGTGAGATGACTTTCTTTTTGTAAGAAACTCTGGTACAGATATTTCGTACCATAATGAGCTTCATGAACTGTATTTTTTCACAGTTGTGGAGCAAATAGAAATTTTTTATTTTTTTTTTTTACACATAAGTAGCATCAAGTAAATTATTTCCAAGGTGATTATATAGTTATATACTTGGTATTTGTGCATTCGAATTTCTGTCTACAAATTAAGTATATTTTTGTCAGATTATATCCTGTGGACTTTTGCTTTTAAGTGTTTTTATAACTACTAGTAATGTTTCAGAAGTGCATGCAGCTGTAATACAACTTTATGCAATCTAATTTATCGTCTTGGAGGGGAAACATGTTAAAAATTTTCTGGGTATTTAGGGAACTGTATACTTAAATTCTAAAAACCACATATATAGTAATTCTTTTTCAGTTTCGTGAACTGCATTCATGCAGTGTTTGATTGTCCACTATTCTGCGCATCCGAGAGCTGAGCTGAACAAAATTACAGAAATTTTTTTAATACTGAAATGAGTTTTAGAACACTTTACAGGTATCCATTGTAAGAATTTTGTACAATATATTTTAATTTTGTTCAGCAAAAATGTTTACGTTTTTGTAAACATGTCTAAAAACCTCATCTTAAAAATAATTACGTTAACACTATTAAACTGTTGGTAGTTGTATGCAATACTATTTTTAGCTGAAGTCATGTTGGTCATTAAAATGGTGTTAAATTTTGGTGCCTATATTAGTAATTAAACCTAAATTACATTACAGAGATAATGTAATTGTGTAATTGGGAAATCCAGAGGATTAAGCTGGAAACTAAGCTTTCATAAAATAAATCCCAAAATACCAAGATACACACTGCTGAGTTACCCAAATCACCTCACCCTGTAGTGTCACCATCTGGCATCTGTAGTCTTATGATCAGGTATTTCAGCATTTGTAGTACTGGATAATGTTAAAATGAATCATGCTCTAAAAAGTAAGGGATTTTCTTCTACTTTTTTTCCTTCTCTCATCATCACAGGTTCACTTAAAACAGCTATTGCAAGATGAGAGTATGTAAATGAAATCACAATCACAAATTTGTTTCTAGGAGAAAGGTTAAAAATTATTTCTTGTCTTCTTCCTTCTAATCCTGCACTTTCAGGGAGGTATTCTGTTTCTTAACCATCAGTCTGAGATTTGTTTTAGAGATCTGGAGGTCCACCGTGCCAAGAGCTTGCAGAAAGTAGTGTGTGTTCCCATTATGTCCTCAAATCACCTCTCAATACTCCAGAAGGATGAGCTGCAGCATCTGCAGGTGCTCTGTCTGCCTCCTCAAAGTTAGGATTAAGGGTTTAAGTGTATTCAGTGTTACAGCAATGGTGGAGCCAGTATCTGAATCCAAGACGCTGGTTTACTGTAATTTTATTTAAGTAATTTGACTATTAAAAAAGTATTATTTCATTTTAATTGAAGGATCTGGAAAAAAATCTTGAATTGAGTAGTAGCAGTTTTCAACGAGAGTTACATTCAAAGAAGAAAAAAATGTATGAGGCTCAAGAAGAAAATAGAGTTCTCCAAGAAGAGCTTCATCAACTAAATCAGAAGCTGAAGGTAAAATGTGAAGCAATACAAGTTGCTAACCTTGTTCTGGCATTTTATCTTTGGAAGTATCTGTAATTAGGTTTGAATAGTTTACCAGTGACTGCACTCTCTGGTGTGTGCTTAATTATATACCACACGTGAGTTCTTTTCCTGCTTTAAATTGAAATGTTCTGTGCTCTGCCCCTACAGTGTTTATAACAGGAATGCCTCTACGTTAATCATTATTGTTAGCACTAGTTAAGAAAAGCAAGATCAAGTACATAGCCAAACATTGCGATTAAACCACAAGATCTACTGGAAAATTAGGTTTTGAAGGCTTGAATTTAGAAATAAATCTGCAGGTATATACAGTACTTTATGTTACTAAGGTACTTGCATTACAGTAGGTTTGTGTAAAGATTAATTTCATGTATTTGTGATATCCATGTGTGTTGCTAAATTTGTGCAAAGGTTTCTTTGCATCCCCCGACCCCATCATTGCCCAAATTCTAAATGTAAAGACTGAAAATACTGTTGTGTTCGACCTAGTCGGTTTATCTTTAGAAAAAAATAATTAAATAAGACTTGAGCTAAAGTACTTAGCTGCTAGGAGAATTTCCTTGAAACCCCAAGTCTCAGACATATAATGGATATACACCAGTTTACCACCTTACTAGCTACCAAGCAAGTAGCATTAGTAACTCAAAAACTTACTTGTTTAAAGTAGGTGTTTTAAGCCTGATTTGTTAGTGGAGAGTTTACTATTTTGAAAATATTTTCATTATCTCATGATTTCTGATAAATCGCTGTTCATTTCTGTATTTTATTCAATAAATGTCATGAAAGAAGAATATGTCTCTACCTCTATGATGCAGCGGGCCTCTGCTCTGTGGTGCTGACATGCCCTGTAACATTGCTAGCATTGAAATGCTTAACTCTTTACAATACTGAAAATTCAGTTGTACAATCTATACATACATTGTAAGTCTTATTCAGATTTATGGCATTTAGTTTTATTTTCACTACACAGATGCTTCCCCCCCCACCCCAAATATTTTGTTAATGAGTTTTGGCGGGGGGGAAGTTCTATCTGCTTTTTTATAGCATAAGCAAAGTTAGGAATGTGATTGTTCTCCTTAAAACACTGGATGTAACTATTGATTAGTCTATATTACAACATATATTTTTAATTTAATTTACAGCTTTGCTAATGACTAGTAAATGAAATGTTAGTAACTCATTGTTATACCTGCCTCTCTCATTCACAGGAAAAAGAAAGAGAACTTGAAGCAAAAAATATATATGCTAATCGTATGTTGAAGCTATCACCAAGAAAAGACACGGATATTATACAAAGAAAAAGAGGTAACTTATATAAAGCAATAAAGGCAGAAAAATTAATAGCAACGCATTTGACCCTACCACTGCTTGTTCAAGAATGTTTACTTTTTCGCACTGCTTTCAGCACAGCACTGGTTACAAAGAAGGGCACTTTGTTTGTTTGACTATTCTCTAACTGCAGCAGAACCAAAACCCAGAACTTCATCAAACAGCGTTCTTAACTCCTTTTATACCAGATGTTCCTGGGTGAAGGAGGAGGAGGAGATTGTTTAGTAAATTCTCTTAATAGAGCATAGATAATGTCTACATGACAATAAATTACAGAGGCTTTAAAAATATGTAACTTCACTACTATGAATATTTTGGTGATTTTTTTTATTTATTTTTGTACTAATTCAAATTTACTGTCTGTCAGATGAGCTGCAGTCTTTTATTTTTCCCTCAAAGAGTACATCTGTCCCAGAGCATAATCTTTGAAAAGTATCAGTGCAGTGATTTCTTCTGGCGTGACAAGGCAGCCTCAAGTCTTATGCTACCCACATAAATATGTGTGTCTATATGTGTGCCTCTGTGTGTACTCAGACTATTTTCACTGGATCAGTAGAATCTACTTGTCAGAGGAAGCAGGAATTTATGGGACTGTTTTAAATATTTAATGCCAGCATTTCAAACAGTTTGTCTGCTGCTCATTTTATTATAGATACCCTACTATCATTCCATTTTGGGTTCAGAGTTTTTTAAATGTCATTCCATAGACATAAGTGTATGTGTTTCAAAGATGCAAATAAGTGAATTTTTATTTTATGAGTTTGCTTCTCTACATGTAGCTTCTGTGACAAAGCAGTAAGATGAACAAGATATTTTGTGGGTTTTTTTTAACAGATACTCAGTATACTGTAATGACTTTATAAGTAGCTTTAAGGCTAGGGGTTTTATTATTCTTTTCAGTAGGTTTTGCATGCAATTTTTTTTTAATTAGCTTTAACAGATGCTGAAAACAACTGTGTGAAACTTGTCAATACTTTCTGCTTCCATTGGCTCCAATACAGTCTTTTATGTTTGCTGCAAATCATTAAAAATGAGAGATAGGTATATTGTGGGATATTTTCAAGTGAAAACATGATTTAATTAGTTTGTATTTTCTACAGCCAACAACCAAAATATTAAAAAAGGAGCACAGCTCACAAAAGGTGTACAGACCAGTGGATACTTCTCACCAGTAGAATTTCTTCCCGAATCAGAACTTGTCTGTGGTGACACAGTAAACAAGAAAGAAGGGATTCTTCCTAAAATAGTGAGTTCCATAATAATTTGAGATTTGCTCCAGATAACTCGCCTGTTAGACTGAATGTTTAATGCAGAGCTTATATTTTAGAAAATATGTGTAAATGTACAAGTATATAGAAAATATAATTTAGAAAACATTCTGATCTTTAAGAGAAACTTTACCCTTACAGAAATATCATTCTCCATTTTGTGACACTTAGTTCATCATATTCTATGTCTTACTGATAACCATTAACTCAATCTGTTTCTTTTTCTGCCACTGGCATTTCTTTGAAGTTTTTAAGACTACATTTTGGGTTTCTCCCTTTTTCTTTATTTCTAATTCTTATTTGAGCAATCTGTTGTTGTCTCTCTTTTTGCTTTGGTCTTAATTATGGTTTCTTTTACTTTCCAGATTTATTTCACAATGCATAAATCTAACACTTCCTCTTATTGTCATAGTGCTGGTATTTCTTCTGTCGTTTTTCCAGCTTTGTGAATATGGTTGAATTTTTTTGGTTTTCCATTTCCCTTTTTGTGATAAAATAGTACCATTAGAAGTATTGCTAATAATTCTGTGACCTCAGGCTAAAATCAATGAGATTTGTAAGGTATTACAAATCAGAGTGACACAGATTCTGGTACAAATTGTACAAATTCTGATTATATAAGGCTAGGACTGTTTGTCAAAATAATGCTCTGATGATGGTCTTGACTGGCTTCCTGGTAGGACTGAAGCTTTTTCATGGCTGTTTCATTCCTATGTTCTCTCTTCCAAAATCCTTTCTGTAAGTATGGATGTAGTTTAATGTATGCATTCTTCCAGCATATACTTTGGTGTGTGAGTTACAGAACCGCACAGTTGGTACAAGTGCAGTTCGTGGAGTCCAACTATATGTCATCTTACAAACCTCTCTAGTTCGTGTATGGCTATTGCTTTAAGTAACGTAAATTAGATTTGGGTAGCCTGTGCTTTCATGAGTTTTCTAAGTGAAGTATTTTAAATACTTGGCCACCATCACTTTTATGAAGTTGTTGGGGTTTTTTTTAAACATAATAATGATAACCTTGTACAGGAAGGAAAAATACTTGGAAGTTGGTTTGGCTAATAGTCATATTTTCTTTGTTCTTTAAGTAGTAACTGTTTCTCTTCTTTCTCTTGGAAGTGCATTTTAATCTAGAAGCTTATTTTGCTCTAAAGTAAGCACAAACTACAAAGTTAGCACCCACGTGTTGGATTACACTGGCTTTCTCTTCACTTCATTGCCACTACTTTTCTGTATTAGTGATTTTTACTGCTGACATTAGTATCTTTTCTGCTTAATCAGAAGTTAATCTTAATCAGAAAGTTCTTTCCTTTTAAATGTGGATGTATATGCACTAACTGAATTTTTCAGCAAAGATTAAACCTTGCTCTTTCACTGTTTGTTACTTAATACTTCATAACACTGAAACTGAATCTACAACCCACTCACTTGAGTCAAAAGATCAGATTCTGGAAATAGAGGATAAGTAATTGCTTGTTAAAAGAATAAGGTGATGGGGTCTGGCCTTCTGTTAAACTCCTTGAAAAAGACAACTTCTGACTTCTAAAGAGAACTGCCCTAAGACAGTGATAATTTTGCTTTATGATATCAGAGCTGCAACTTTCCTGAAATGCATAATACAGAGTAGAGCTGATTGTCTATTCATTTTGTTTCAGGTGCATAAAACTATGCTAAAGGTGATAAGATTTTAGGGCCAAACCCCTAGGTTGTCAAATCTGGTTTAGTTTAGATGACTTGCTCGTTTTTATGTTTAATGGTAAGAATGTGATTTTAGAATGACATAGAAGTTCGTATGATTTTGTTTGTTTGTTTTATTGATTATTTTCCCCCAATAGTTTCAGGTTTTTATTAATTTATTTCAGGAAAAAGAAACTCAAGACAAGGGATGGAAGGAGCAAGCAGACTTCCCGAGACAAGACCAAGACCGGGAAAGGGAAGAGAAACTGAAACGTTTTCCGGAAATACAGGCTTTAGAGGAGAGGGGTCTAAAACTTCATGATGGTAAGGAAATGGGCAGCTGAAGGCTGGAAAATACACCATAGAATACTAATCAAGTGAGGCTTCTAGTTTCTTGTGAGAAGAGCAAAATGATTTTGCAGAGATCACTACAGTGGAAAATTATTTTCAGTTACATTATGCAAAGAGAATCGGAAAGAAATAAGGGATATAGAATAATCTGTGCCCTGTACTCAGCTGTGATTAAGTATGCAGCAGCAAAAAATGCTGTCCATGAAGAAGTAGTGAAGCCTGAGAGATTTTGCTTTACAAAATAAGAATGACATAGCAGGTAAATGCTGATGTTCTCTCTTACTTGCTAGATGTTATTGAGGTAGGCAGTAGATTTTGACTATTGTAGAACAAATCTGCATTTCTTAATATGGCCTGTTTTTTCAGTACATATCTACTTGTATCATTTGAAATTGTAGTTTCTCTTTTCACTTGTGGTTATCTGAATTATTTGGTGTGGCTATTTGAGTAATGCCAGTTTTATTGTTATCTTTTAATATTGCTTTTTTATTCATTTGGTTTTCACATCTTAATGACTTACGTTCACAAGTCTCTTAATCTAAAGTATTTTAGATGGACTGCATCCTGTCATATTAAAATACTCTTTCAATGATTATAGTTAATGAACAGTAACACTTACTCCAGATGACAAGGAAGAATTCTAAAAATTTATAGCTGCTTTCAGAGGTAAATTCTGTGAAAAATCTTCTACCTCCACTGGCATCAGTGCACAACTTATATAAGCGAAGAATCTGTTCTGTTATGTTTCTGGGTAAGATGATTTGACCACCTTACCCATCTTACAGTATAAGCTTATATTTTCCCCACCTTACGTACAGAAAGGCAGCTCCTTACTTAATTTGGTATGGTGATATGTTATTGAAAAAAATATATATTAAAAATATTAACTGAACTGTTGCAGTTATTTCTGTAAGCTTGATCTGAAGTACAATAGATAACATGGAACTTGATGAAAACATCAGTCAGAAATTTGAATAAAGTGTTCAAAGGGGAATGCCAGTATGTCGAAGGGGCCAAGCAGTTGTATTCAACTTTTGGCCAATCACACGTCTGTTGTCTTGATAGAAAAATATTTTGAAGAGAGAAATATTTGAGAAGCTTCCGTTTTCTTGTACACATAAGTATTTGCAGGTTCTATCTAGAACTTTATGACTGTTTTGCACCTTTGGTGTCCCTTTATAGCTACGCAAACTCACATTTGGTATTTGCACAGACACTCTCGTTGAATTCACGTGGTGACACAGAGAACACTCATGTGAAGGTGTTTTCTGTATGCAGCAGATGCAGTATATTTAAATCATTCACTACTTGAAACCGGTAATGACTCCTTTGACTTTGCGGCCTGATAGCTTCACAGGAATAGTTCCCTTTATGGAAAAAACCTGAAACATATATCCCAGAACCATCCTAATGTCAGTGGTGCTGACAAAAATAAAGTACTGTGCAAGTCAGAACTATTAAAAGCAGTGATGTTGTATTCATTTTCATTCCCACCCAGGAAATGGGAAGGCAATTGGCAGAAATGAAATTCCTCTGAAAATTCTAAAACACGAATAATGCCCTTATCCCTTTGGAAGACGACAGTAAACTGTTATATCTTAGCAGAGAACCTGGTGTGAATTTAGTTGTAATTTTTGAATAATTTATTTTTTCAGTAGGGAAACCATATTATGTATAGAAGAGTATATTAAAAACTCAATGGCTTTTGCTTGCATTATTTTCAAAATAATCTTTTAAAGGCATTTTAAAACTAAATCATTTTAAATAATATTTAAACATTTCCTGCAGAGTGGGAAAGGGAAGAATATGACAAAATGAAAAAAGAAAGCAGCTTTTTATTGGATAAAGAAGAGAAAACAAAGATGGAGACAGAAATCCACAAACCTGAAGTAGAGAGAGAAAGCACTGAAATGCTGGAAGAGCGGCGAAAAAGAGAGTTCCTGCTTACTAAAATGCAAGAAATTGATAGAGAAACGCAAAATATGACAAACATGAAACCTGCTTCCCAAGCACCACTCATAAATACAGCAAGAAAGTCTGATTCCCTGGAGAAAAAAGAAAAAACTAATCAATTCTTTGAGATTCCCGGGAAGGTTACTAATGGATTTCCTGCAGATGACAGCCAGGATGATGCCACAAGAGCACAAGGGCAGAAGCAACGAAGTCTGAGGACTGTAGATTTAAGTAGTAAGTTAACGTTTGGTAGTTATGTACCTTCCTTTGGGAAAGGATCGGGGAGACCGAGTTGGCTTACTCAAAAAAGTGACAACTTGGAAGAAAATGTTAAGGAAAATGCAGATTTCAATAGTAAGAAAGAAAAAAAGTCCAATTTAATGGAGCAACTCTTTGGAAGCAGTGCCAGTACCATTCTTTCTACAAATAACGATACAACACCTTTTGACATAGATTGGGACTCTAGTAATACTCTTCTTGTCGATAAAAACAGTAAAGTCAAAGAAGACAATGAGCTTTTTGGTGAAGGAAGAAACCTAAACAGACACCGTTTGCAACACACTACAAGCAAGCCAGGAGTTAAGACCCTTGGTTCTTTAGAGGATGAAATCGAAGAAGTAATCTTACAATGATCATATTTTTGTATGTTTCATATGTAAATACTGAAAAAATATTTTCATGTAATATTTATTAGATACAGATTTGAAACATTTCAGATATATTGTAAAGCCTTATGAAGGAATAATTTACATAAATGGGAATATGTATAGAGGAAAGATGCACTTTGATAAAACAGCCTAACCTACATGCAGGAAATTTCGTCTGAAATGTAATATCCAAATACAGACCTTGGAGATATGGCAGTGACTCTTTTGGCAGAAAGACAGGGAAGGTGTCCTGAGGGACTTTGATAGATGAGGTAGGTGCTGGCTGGCTGCTTCAGTCAAGCAGAGAAGATGCTTTTGCCCCAACTTGGGCTTCAGACCGACTGTCCCTGTTGCTGTGTGGCACCATCTGACTTGTGCAGCTGTGGCCTGGGGTCCACGAGGCTCGGTAGCGCAGAGCTGGTAGGGGTGCCATAGGAATGGAAGGACTCGCAGAGGCTTACGCTGACTTGCGCCCTTTTCTCACATTCTCTCTCGCACCCTTTGTGCTCCCTCTCCCTCTTGCTCTCCTGTGCGCTCTCTCTCTCACTCTTGCCCTTTGCTTGCTCTCGCCCTCTCTCTCTCGCCATCGCTCTCTAAATTTTTGAGACTTACTGATGTGTAATGGTATGTTAAGTAAAATTACACGTCTCACAAGGGAGCATTATTATTTATTGCAGAATAAGTTGGCTAAGAAGTCGGCAAGCTTTTACGTGGCAGCCCTGGCATTCAGGGCAGCTACTAGATGAGGATCTCTGGCTAGCCAGCACAGGAAGCGTTGGGGTTTTTTTACACGTAGGCTGCTCACAGTACACTGCTTTTCATTTGGAGTACTTCTTTTAGGCGTCAGATACTTTCTTTTTCAGGCACTCGGAGAGCCTCTTAACTGTGTCAGGAGAAGGCATGTGTAACATCAGTGTCATGAAATGGATAGAAGAGACGTACCTAGAACAAAGGCTCAGGTAGAAAGAGAATATTCTATACTGCAATCATGTTCTCTCAGAAGAACATCAACAGAAAGAAAATTAACTCAGGAACAGCTGATCTCTCTTCTGCATAGGTTTTCTGTAGACCTTACCACCAAGTTTGTCTAACTCTTCTCATATATTCAGGTTATATTTATTATATAATGCCATTTTTTGTAATTTCTGAATTTTCTATGTAAAATTCCAATTATTACTAAGTAATTTTTTAACAAAATGGTTTTATTAAATTACTTGAGTAAAATTTTTGTGTATAGATCATCTTTAACAAAAAGTTCTGACTTTTTATATCACATTATTGATACTGGGTGGTGGGGCAAAAATTGGTAGCAACATTGCTAATGATGTTATTCACTGCATGGTGCCATGTACACAAACAAAAAGGTAGGCAATGAAGGATTTAGCAGAGGCATTCCAGAAAATAAACTGAAGATCATTCCTTACTAGAACAACAGGTTTTGAAATGCCTCTCTGATATGCTCCCTATGAGCTTGGTTCAAAACATACTAAAATACAGAGAAGAATTCTCATGATTTCAAGATGCTTTGAGCCAAGATTTCTCTGAACACAATGGCTCTTCTGAAAAGAAAGGCTGGTGTCTGCATCATGCAATAGCTTTGTTTGCTCCCTGATTCAGAAAGAAAATTAGTCACAGATCCAGACCCAGTGTGTGGGACCGTTCTCACTAGGCACCCTGTAGTGCAGAGCAACTCAACTCATGTTCACCTGCTTGCTTACAGTCCCAATATTAGAGAATTGAGCTGGTTCATTTTGCTTGCAGATGGTCAGAATATCAGGACAATTCTGACCAGCAACAGTGAATTTAACTATCTGTGTTACTCTTCCACAATTACTTTTTGGGGGGAATACTGTGGTGTAAGACATAGAAGTCTGTGGGTAAACACTGTGGGTGTTTGTGAGTGGATGGTTATTTGTCTTAACTTTCTTGTCCTAATTGTGGGTGACTGCTGCCCTTCTAGAAGAAGGCACTTTGTTCCTGAAGATACTGCTGGGGTGAGTCGTTTATTTTTCTTTCCTGTGGTTGAGGATTCTAAAGCATAAAACAATGATGTAGCTGCTGCAGTTATTAAGGATCATGTAGTGTATGGAGAGTTGGGTTTTTTTGTTTCTTTGCAACTCAACCCATTAACATCTGGCAAATTCTAACTATCATGCTGAACTGATGTGCCCTGCTGTTTCAATTACAAATGTATAGTTTTGAAGCTGTTTCATATTATCAGCCCCTTCTTAAGTTCACAAATGTTCACATCCTGTTACCAGACTCTTCCTGAAGCAAGCACTGTGGTGACTTGCACAAAAAAAAAAAGTGTATCTGCATTAGGAAGGTGAAAAAAAATTAATCTGCTGGGAACACTATCACAGGTATAGTTTCCTTTTTCCCCCCATTGCTGTCTGTCTACAGCTTATTCTCTTTTTGTGCTGCACTTTCTAGTTTTAGAGTTACTTGTATGCAAATACCATTACAGTTAAAGTGTATAAAGCCAGCGCTTTGAGAGGGAATCTTCTGTTTGTGGGGGGAAACCTTTGGGTCCTTTAACATCTGTAAGTAGTGTTTCTGCTGTTGAGTAACAGTTTTCTACTGACTAGAAGCAACTATTGCAAAGGCCTTAAAAGGGTCTATGGACCTTATGGTTGGGCACGTTGATTCCTTGTAGTCCTCTTGACCCCTGGTCTCAACTACTGTGTCCGGATAGTCTGCGTGTTGCTTTTAGTGGTGGCAGTGTTTAATAGCACTTGACTGACTGCAAAAGGATCCATCTTTTGTAGTAAAAAGTAGGTCACAAATGCTTTGATAATGATTTGTGTATGATTTGATATTTATGTCCAGTTGTAGATTCTGTTTGTTAGATGTTCAGATCATACGGCTGTTACGTCTGTTGTGTTTTGCTTTCCTTCTGAACCACCAAAGATGATGGGAGAAAGTCTTCCATTCCAACAAGAAAAGATCATTAAAGTTTGATTAACTGTTTTAGTGGAATATTCAGGGAGATTATTAATGCCCTGGGAAAACTGGTCTTCCAGTTCTGATGCCCAGGAGAGTGGTCATCAAACAAAAGTATCCGAGGAGCATCTGATGAAGGTGGTCAGGTGTCAGGGCTCACCTGACAGAGAAAACAAGAAGTTTTAAGAAGATTTTTCTCTTTGAGAGAGGAGATGAATGGTGGAGGGTGGGGAGAGCATAGTAGATCTTCTGTAATCCAGGAGAAGAGATGTTAAGCTGTAGGAGGAGAATTTGGGGCACCCTTCACAACTCTGAACTTAAGCCTGATGAACACTACAGTGGTAAGAAAAGTGAACTGGGACATGCTTAAACATACTGAATATTTTTCTCAGATCTGTGGTTATCTTTGGGCTAGCTAAAGAATAAATTTAAAAAAAGTGGTGTTTCAGAACCCTAAGAAATCCTGTGTTTCTGATTTTGCTTTGCCCATTGCATACATGCCTGAAAAGGTGAATTGCAAATCTATAATGCTTCCAAAATGGGGACGCTTGGAGAGGATGTGCATAGGCTACTTGGTAGCCTCAGGTTCATTGCTGGTCCTGAGACAGAAGGTCTAATCCATCTAGCCCAGAGCCTATTTGCACTGTCAGGAGATGTGAAAGAATACCTAATCTGACATGGTAGGAGTAGAAATTTGTTCAGGCAAAGATCTTGGAGCAAATGGCTACAAGAGCATCAGCAGGGCTTTTGCTGATACTTGTGCTCTAGAGAGTGCTTTGGGTGAGCCTTTGCTATTCAAGAAAATAGTAATAAATTCTGCATAGTGCTGTAAAGCAGAGACCAGCAAAAATCGACACGGTGGAAGTGAGTGCCTTCAGGAGAATCGTGCTGCCAATTGTAGGAAGGGAGGTTTTCTTCCCAGAGTTGCATGGCTTCACTAAGCCTGACCTACTCTTCTTCCGAGATGACAACTTTAAGCATAAGAGATGCCCTGGGTGACATTGCTCATTTATAAAATTCCCTTTTGTTGGATCAAATTTAACGTGGTCTCCTGTTTCGAATTATCTCTTTGATTAGCTGCAAAGTTTTGATGTCTGCAGGAGGAGAACAATTGCATCAGTGTGCACTGTCAGCCGGGACTTGTGGCTGCTGGGGAGTTGCTAGGATACCTCTCTAAAAGGTACGATTCACTTGATTAACCACCAACCCATTTTGCTTGAGAAATATTTTTCCTATCTTTGTTTTGTGCTGGCATCAACTGTGCATCAGATGTGCATGTGTGTTTAGAGCAAGCTACAGGTTGATTGTCATATGTTTCTTTTGCCCGCTTTTGATATGCAAAACCTCTCTGGCGCTCCATAGCAAAGAATCCAGAGCAATTATAGTAGCAATTCCAGTAATCTGTAAGATAAGCATTGCTTCCAGAGGGGAACATCAACTGTAGAGAACCAAGGGAAGGTTTGACTTTGGATATGCATTTCTGGTGTGTAGCTAAGGCTTAACTTGCTATCTGTAAAAATGCAAGGGAATTTTTCATCTCCTATGTGTTATTTTCTTTCCCTGCTCTGAGCAGGGCGTTGGAGCAGATGACCCGCCAAGGTCCCAGCCGAAGCTATTCTATGATTCTGTCGTCCTTGCCATGTCCCACTGGTATTAATGCTCCCTTCCAGCAGAAATCCTTTGCACAAAGCTTCTTCGTGTTACTTGCACAAAGTTGCCTCAGACGCCTCCTGTGTGTCCATCTGTTCTTGAATATGACAGCATTGTATTCAGGACACAAATCCTAACTCAACTCTCTCTCTCCACAATAGCTGCTCTGTGCATCCTCATCCTTCCAATACCCTTTTTCTCCATCTCCCTCATTCCTGAAACATTTTGTTCAAACTTTGTCTTCAGGACCTTTTGCTGTCGTTTCTGTGAATCCTCCCTTGTCCCACAACCCTCTTTCTTCTCTTTCCCTCTAACTTTCATAAACTTCTCCTGCTGCTTCCACTGTGTCTTTCCTCTTGATGGACCATCGTTCATTCACTCTGAACCATCTTCTGCTTTTCATCCCGTAAGCACCAGTTACCTTCTCCCTAAACTGCCTTTATCTCCTCTCCCACGGTTTCTTTCCTCGCTCCGGAGCTCCCTGCCAGCCGTGTTGTGCTGTGTTTTCTTCTCACCTGTGGGTGGAAGTAATGTTGCAAGAGGGTAGGAAAGGCTTCGTAGGAAGGGGAGGCGATCTTATTTTTAAACTGATTTTGCTTTTACGCGCACAGCCGCATATGAGCACTAAGGTGCATGAACTCAAGCGGTCTGTCCAGTGGCCAGGCACCAAGAGACTTGCACCCAGTTGGCCCAGGCAGAGGTTCTTACGGCGACCCGGAGAAGGCGGCTTGCCTGCTCGGAAGTCCTCGCATCTCCTCGTCACTGCTTTGGCTGGGGAGGGTGGCTGGCTTGGGAAGTGCCCTTTGGGAGCTGCCCATGATTTTTGTACCTGTCCTGTCCCACCTCTGCCAGTCATTAGGATTTCCTCACTCGCCTTTCTCACCTCCTCCAAGCTGCCAAGGGCTCCAGCCTGTTCTTTATCTTCCCACCATCGCCCCTCAATCACTGAAGTCTTTATTTTAGCTTGGATATAGGCCACCCTTTCTATTCCAAGTAACTTGGAAAACTGCACATTGCTGTGCTAGGATCTTGATGACCTGCTAATCTGGGTGCCTCTTGCAGCCCTTCTGCCGATCCTCCCGCTTCTCCCTCGTCCCAGACCTTCCCAGTCATGCTCCCTTTCGCAGTCCTCTTGTTTCCATTGCTATTATCTACACTGCGGTATATTGGGAGTCTGTGGGACTTGGGCTATGTGCTGCTGTATTTTGTAAAGCTTCTAATGAGCTGTTAGCTTCACAGTTTGCTGCTTAATAATTCTCATGGTAGGAAGGATGGATAACCCAGGTGCTGTAATTCACTAGAGAT